CTATATATATATATATAGGCTAAATTATACTAACCTTTTGTTTTCTTGTCCTATGAAGTGATAGGTGGAGACAGAACCCAAGATGAATACACCAATGCTGTTGATACAGTGAGTGATCACTATTTTCGTGGTTTTTTCCTCTGTTTCCTGCCACTGACAACATGTATTGAGGTAAAAATGCAATTATTTGAAAATGAGCCCTCTCTGAATGATGTGTTACTGAGTACTCCACCTTCATTGGCAAGAAATCACGTATAATCAAACAACAATGTTATTTAGACGAAATAATCTGATCCATCGGATTGCAGATCTCAAGGTGGTCAATTTTTGACTCGAACACGAACACGAACCGAACTCGACATGAACTTGTAAATAACACGATTCATTGACACAAGGAATAAATGGGTCAAATTAAGGTTCAGCACAAATAACACGATAAATGGGTACTGTAGATAGAAAATAATTATTTAATAAGTATTTTAGATAGAAAATAAGAATTTTATAATTTTTTTAATAGTATTATATAGTCGTTGTCAAATTAAATAATTTTTATTAACACGAATATTGACACGAACCCGACACGTACCGAAAGTGATACGGACACGAAAATAATACGATACGAAACTGATACGACACGATATAATTGACACCCCTAGCAGATCTAATTCATTATTATAGTTGGATTATTAATGGATCTCATTCAATACTAGGATCTACCGCTAATCCCATTCATAAATGGAGAAATACTATATTGTCTACGTCAAAACCCATGTATTCCAAATACATGTGCACTACACATTCAATTGAATGAAAAAGCGGCACCCTGTTCGAGGGTAGTATAAGTCAAAGTTTTGATTTGTCAAATTTCTTCTCAAGGTTACTAACAAGCACAAGAAATTGAACCATTCAACATTTCAAATTTCATCATCACACTTAAAGCACTAAGACCAACAATCATCCAAAGAGAAGCCTTTCAAAACAAAGGGCTCTAAAGGGATGGCGAATATTTTGGATACCATTTGCGTCATTTGATTCGATAACTAATGAAGACAGTGTCGTACATTTCGCGTGATTGCACTTGAGGGACAATTTTTTAAAAGCGTAAGAGACTAGAGAGACACAAATTAAAAATGTGAAGAACTAAAATAACAAATATATAAAACTCGAGGGAGCCGAAGAGACACTTTAAGTATAGTCACATGAGATGCATGAGAACTATTCTGTTAGTAAAACTTAATCGGTCATTTTTTATTGGACAACATTGGTACAAATTAAATACTTGAGGAACAAATTCACACAATTGAAAAATTGAAAATCAAACTAAGACAAAACGCACCCAAAAATATTTTGCCCTACTTGAAGAGTACCATAAAGAGGGCTGAAGTTAAAGTTTGCTGTCACTGGCTGATCAGCCTGTTATACTCACCTAGGGCCAGCGGCGGCGGCAGTGGTGGGGTGGTGGTGACAAGAAGGGATACTTTTGATACCTCATATTGCAACTTGGCCCCAAAATTCGCCACCCTGGCCTGTCTTGACAGCATTCGTTGATTCTCTCTAGTAGATCGTTCAAACAAGCTAAACATCCATCTTCACTTATATCTCTAGTACACTGTACCATTCCATACCTATTCCGACATTTTCCAACGGTAATTAATCATCTGGAATGTACATCTTGTTCGCAGGCCGAGTATTATATATCAAAGAAGTGATGAAAAATCACATGCCGGAATTCTCCGGATCCGGTGATCCCAAGGTTGAATTTCCATTAATGTTCCACATGAACACCCTTGGGAGTGTTTCTTTACGACCGAAAAAATTGATATCACAGTAGCGTAACATGCACATGTCGTACGATATAATCGCTGTTTTATTCGAGAGGCATTGTCCTATAATCTCTTCTCTCGCTTTGGTGACACAGGTCTGACAGTTACGGGGATCAACATCGCCTCTGCAAAGGAAGAGACCATAAATATCATCCGAGGTACCACTGTAAAACTCGACGTGGTTTGCTCCGCCTGCTCTGGATGTTAAAGAATCTAAGAATGAAGGAAGTTTGGTTGTGTCGTAACTGAGATTGGCTGTGTTGGTAGAGCAAAAGTGATAGATATAATCACCTGGGCCATAAACAGAGACAACCAGCCCAAGTGTTGAGATGATCAAGAGTAGTAATATGTATGATTTGGGATCTTTGAGGAGAAGCATTTCTTTTTCTTTTTGTTTTTCTGATGATGGATCAATTGAAATGGCTGAAAAAGAATATGTATGTTTTTTCTAGAGTTGGTTACCTACGTGTACGTTCCAATGCTTGATTTAGGTTCGCGTACAGTGAAAATGCCATTGACCGGTGGTTCAAGTTCGAGAAAGTCAAAAACTATGATGCAATTTATGTTGGAAACTCAGCGAAAAATGTTTACTTTTTCAAAGATAAAATAGGTGTGGATTGGAATATACTGGTATAAGACTTTGAAAAGATTATACTTTGATCAAGAGATGTAATTTCTTACAAAAAAGGCTTGAAATCAACACGAAACACAGAATATACTTGTATAAGACTTGGGTTATTTTTTGATACAAACACGTATATGACACAATTCGTTAACACAAAAAATAAATAAATTGGACTGGTGTCAAATATAAACAACACGAAATTGACACATTTAAGTAATTTTATAAGAATAACTTTTTTTTTATAATTTATCAAGTAGTGAATTATTTCTTGTATAAAAAAAATATTTTTACTCATTTTTATTACTAGATTTGTTAAGGTACAGAAAATGTACGAGGATAGGTTGGATCAAGTTATAATGAAATTTTGAGCGTTAAATTTTGTATTCATGGATTTATAGGTTAACACAAACATGATACAAAAATAAATAGGTCGACACGATTAATTAAACATTGAATAGAGTTGAATAGTATTCGACACGAAGTCGAAATGACTCGACATTAACACAACTTGACACGAAACAACACTACACGATTATCCTAGCTAATTTTGACCCCTCAAGTATGATACCCTTTTTCACATTGCTTTCTCAATTGTCATATTACTAGTGATAACTCGTGCCTGAAGGTACGGTGTAATGTAAATCAACCGATTTATTTTAAAAAAATTACTTTAATTTGCTTTAATTAAAAAAATTAAAATCAATATAGACAGATTGACATTTGTTGGCAATTGCCATTTCGGCAGAGATTGCTCTAATAATAGAAGCCCAGGAAATTCTCTATTTGTCTACATAAGTCAAAGTCTCTTGAATTCACAATTCACAATCAGACATAACAATAATTAAAATTCATAATCAATATTCTCCCAAAAATCACCATTTTCGGACCCATCTATCAAAACAAGCATCAATTTTAATCAAAATAAATCAATCACACAACGTGTTTTTGGTTCATTTTACTAAACTCAGTTCACACAACAGACATGCAAAAAGAAAACCAAGGCAGACAACCAGTGACCGAAGACACTTTGCAGCCCACGAAAATCTAGTTAATTTGATGTAAGTTATTATTTATTTCATTTAATTAAAGGAAGTAAAATCAATATAGTAAATTTTTTTTTGGGTCACATAAATCAGTCAATCTAGAAATAACCCGATTTTTTTCCAAAATTTCAACATGATTTCTTTTGAAAATAGGAGACCATGAAAATATAAACTTATATACATAACTAAAAAATAAACGAAACAATCTCACAAAATCAACTATCCATACCCAACAACCAAAACAACAAGCAATTTCATATAAAGCCAAAACAAATCTCCATAAAAGTCTAATTAGTTCACCTTATTAAAGACAAAATAAACAAAAACTCACGTAAATCCGATTAATTTGATATAGGTTAGTATTTATATCATTCAAATAAAGAAAATTAAATCAATCTAATAATAACCTGCTATTTTTATAAAATTTTAATAGAGTTTTTTTTAAAAATAGGAGGTTATAGAAATGTCAACTTGTATACATAACTATAAAACAAACATTACAATTCCCAAAAAATCAAACAATTCATACCCAACAACCCGTGCCCAAGGACACAACGCAACCGCAATTGCACATCACAATTTAAAATTGATGCACAATATAAAATGCAAACATATAGCAATTTTATGTACACCCGAGTGCACGATACAGTTTTAAGAATAATTCACAAGTGTGTTTAGACTACACATAATATATCCATCATATCATATGTTTACCTGGTTGTTATATCCAAAATAACACAGTTTTTTTGATCAGTTATAGAGTAGACAAATATATAATAATTAGAGTTGTTGTGGGGCATGAAACGATAACCTCGCGAAAACAACCGGCGCATCCAAATGTTTGGCAATTCTGCACAACGTAATAAAACCTAGCATCCCAGTAATGAAAAACTCTACATAAAGCCACAAAGAGCCCAATAAAGAATAAAAAAAACCCACAAAAATCATCTGAATAAACAAATTTTGACCTTTCTTCCCTTTTTTGCAATGAAATTGAAATTAATAACCCTCTTAACCACTCACATATAACCTTTCACTCTCTTCAATACAAGCAAGCTTAGCTTTAGACCACAAAATTCATCAGGAAGGTTTGCTTGTGACAGGGATAAAGTTGCAAAGAAGTGAACATAACTACATACTAATATACATATAAATTGATCTGCTTGACACATATATAAAAAATATGTTTCAATGCTAGGTTCAATTCTTTTAATACAAAATACTGAACATATGTTCCAACATCATGTGAAACCAACAAAAAGAATGCATAAATGCATATAGCCATTTTGCATCTTAACGAGATGAGGCTTCCATGGGTTCTTAAATGAGAAAGTTTTACATTCAAAATTTTTATCTAACTTCACTTTCACAACATTTTTTTATCAGCCAAGAAGTTAAAAACAAAATTGTTGTGTTTGGCCATTAAGGGGAAACAAAAGGAGATGAACCCCGAAGGCTAAAGACTATCACACACTTCTTTCAAAACTATCACCATCTAGAACCACGTTCAAACATCATAAAGAAATCCAACCCAGCATAATAGAGATCAAAATTATCAATTGTTGCCAAACTTTTCCTATAAAAAAGGCAGCGCACAAAGAGAAAACAAAATAAAATCAATAAGAACCTATCAAAGCAACAACTAACAAAATTTCAAGATTCTATACTAAACCAATTCACTTTTTCCGAATTCAATGTTGTTTTCCCACATTACTTCAAATCAGATATATCCAAACTAAAATAAATCATATTAACAATATATAAAGGTAAATATATTTGATCATTTCAATGCATAGCATGGATCAGTTTCAATTGCCAAATATCATTAACATTCAATTTATGCAACACAAAACTACCCAGCAGTTACCCAACAATTCCAACTAAGTACTAACCTAACTCAATTTTCCCACCAGCCACATCTTCACCACCACTAAACCTCTCATTCTCATCTTGAAACCATAATTGCTCTAAGAAACTAAAAATTACACCAACTGATAAAACAATAGCACCACATTGATCATAGAAGACCCATGTAAAAACAATAGCACTGCACTGATAAAAATATCTAGGCCTTCTAAGACTCACTGTTAAGCTCATGAAGAACCATGTGAATCCTTGGAATACCAATGCCAGCCAAAAATGCAGAGGTATTCTAGTTTTCACAAAAAGGAAACAAAATGAAATGAAACACAATAGAAGTAGATAACTTAAAGATTTGAACTTTTTACCTTTAACTTGAAGCAAAAAAGAACTCACCCTTGAACATGGTTTCGCCAAATCGAGTGTTATTTGTTGAGCCTGATTGTTTCGAGGTCAGTAGGTCATTCTAGGATGGTTAGATACTTTATCGTGACGTTTATGTTAATCATGATTTTTTAAGTGTATTTTTTTGGTGCATTTTAAGATGCTAGAAATAAATTTAACTTGTCTCTTTCTTTTACCAAAATATGATCGATTAACTACACTTTATCTCTTACGTTATGAGGTTTGTGTCACTTTGCCCCCTCAATAGTCATGTTTTCTATATTGCAGTTTCAAATATAATTGTTAATTTCATATTGTCCCAATGATTTACGTCCATTTAAGATTTGATGGAACATTATTTCACTTTCTTCTCCAAATTATGAGATTTTGTTTCATTTTGTCCCTACACACTGATATTTTTGTCTGAAAAATAACATTCATTTGTGTTTTTGGTAGTGTAAAATCAATTCAAATAATTGAGGAGACAATGCGAGAAATTTAATAATTGAGGGCGCTACGAGACAAAAACCCTATAGTTTGAGGGAGCATAGTATAACTAATCCAAATAGGATATATACTACCTTTTTTTCTTAGGCTGATTTATACTATTTATCTATAAATGAATAAAAAACTAAGACAGGCAACCAGTGCATGAAGGTACTTTGCAACCCATGAAATCCAGTTAATTTGATGTAGGTTATTCTTTATTTCACTTAATTAAAGAAAGTTAAATCGATCTAATAAATTTTTTTTGGTCACATAAATCAATCAATCTAGTAATAACTCGATATTTTTTTCAAGATTTCAACATGGTTTCTTTTGAAAATAGGAGACTATGGAAATATCAACTTGCATATAGAATTGAAAAATAAATATAACAATCCCCCAATATCAACAATCCATACCCAACAACCAGCAAGTTCACATCAAGCTAAACATATCCCCATAAACGTGAAATTAGTTCACCATACTAAACATACAATAAACAAACACCTACAAAAATCCGGTTAAGTTGATGTAGATTATTATTTATATCATTTAATTAAAAAAAGTTAAATCAATCTAATAATAACCCGCTATTTTTGAAAATTTTCGACAGAATTTTCTTTGAAAATAGGAGACCATAGAAATATCAACCTGTATACCCAGCTGAAAAACAGACAAAACAATTCCACATCAGACCAAACTTCTATAATATAAATGTTTAATAAGTTTACCATACTAAACACATAACAAACAAAACTCATGCAAATCTGGTTAATTTGATGTGAGTTATTATTTATTTTATTTAATTAAAGAAAGTTAAATTAATCGAGTAATAACCTCACTATTTTTTAAACATAACTGAAAAACAAACATAACAATCTATACTAACCCATGCCCGAGGGCACAACGCAACTGCAACTGCAGTTGCACATTGCATTTTGAAATTGAGTTGGTGTCATCCCTAAAAATGCACAATAGAAAATGCAAACACGTAGCAATTTTATTTACCCCTGAGTACACAATGCAGTTTTAGGAAAAATTCACAAGCGTATTTAGACATTAAACACATTAAACAGGCCAAGAAAAATGAATGAACAATTATTATTAACAAAATCAAAACCAATTATTTGTATTTATTAATGTTAGCTTAAGCTTTGCATGAATCTGTTTTCCCCCTTACCAAATCTGTAAATATCCTCATGCTTCAAGAACCACCACAAAAGCCAACCAATTCCCTTCTACTCGAAAGTCATCCCGATAAGAATGCATTTTAGTTAATTAATTTATACCATTTGGCAAGTACTCTAGTTAATGGTGCAAGAAACAATGGAGTAGGTTTGAGTTGTATGATGAGGTATTGTGTGTGAGGGATGTCTATGTAAATGAACCGTGAAACGATAAAAAAGATAAGAATTTAAGTGGTTCACCAAGCTGAACAGCTTGGTTAGTCTACTAAATGGAGTGTCTTGCTTCTCTTTTCGTTGTATCCTTGATGTGCTGCATATATAACTACATTGACCTAACATATTCCAATTAATACATTTATTTCTAGCGTATCATCCAAGTAAAACTTCATGCGGTTCACCTAGACCATCACATTAGCCATACACATCAATTAAAGCACTTCCAATGACAACATCCTCCTCCAAGGAATAAATAATATTAAAATAGTTGCTTAAACTAATAAAAAGTCCATGAACTTGCTTTCCATTGTTGAGCAAAGAAAGCTTTGCGCACACACAAATAAAATCAGCACAATTGCAATGTAATCCAAATTAAGTTCAAATAGGAACAACAAAAGGAGCAAACTAAAAATCTTTCTTCAGCCATACTTTTTTTTTTTGGCCAAAAATGTCAACTTCCTCCCCCTGTTCTGTGTTTTCTTTAGGATGATATATCCTTAATCCCCAAGGTTTACACCTGTATGAAAAGCACATGGTAAAAACTATAATTAGCTGGCAACTCCCCCTCATATTTTTTTTTTTTTGGGTAGAAACTATAAATTAGACATTTCTTTTTCTTAATTTTGCATCTTTCCAGCTTCTAGGGTTCCCAAGAACATGACACATACAATATCCATCATGTTGAAAGTAACGTATTGTTGATAAATATTTCCCATATTTCATGAAAATATTTTGACCCTCAATGTCCAAAATAAAGTAATCAATCAATTGAACCCAGTTTCATTTGCATAAACACTATAATGTATGCGTGACACTAACAAGAAATGATGAAAAAACTACAATGGGCAAAGGCAATAGAATACCTTCAGTTGGGGCATTTTCTGAAATTGCAGGTTATACTTGATCAATAGTCAACCAATCAGCTACAATGGCAGTATTTAAAGGGATTTTGGCAATGACATTCAATAACTTGGAATGCATTAGGCAGTTTGATTTAGAAATTTTATTCCCCTTAGCCTTTGATACGACCACCCTAGAAATTCGACCTTTTCCAAATCCATATCCATGAACAGTAGAACGTCGGCAACACCTGTATGTTCATCGAAAGAGGGAAGCAAAGAGAGAGAGACAGGTGGGGATGGCATCAACGGTGGCTTCAGCTATACAAAACTAGTGTGACGAAGTTTTAGTGGCTTCATTTTCTTCGTGATGGTCTCAAAACAAGAGTACAAGAGGGAGGGGAGAGATGGGGCTAAGAAGCTGTGGTGGACGAAAAGGGTTTGGTGGCACAACACTGGGAAGAAGAGAGATGGCTGGGAAATTGATAGCCGTTAGATGAACGAATTTGAGACTGTAAAATGGACTTGTTGAAGTCGTCTTATTTTATATTATAGATCTATCACATTTTATACCATCAATTATGTGATTGGTTTTACATCGCCTCAAATATTAATTCTTATTATAAATTCAATGGAAAATTGTTTCACTTTGCACTCAACCAATGTAATCCTTTTCAGTAATACAACAAAAGTAACATCCTAATTTATCACTTTATCATTATTTTTAAGGCCTATACTAAAGTAAGGCCATTGAAGCGGCCATCTGAGGCTCCACCATTATAAGGCCCCGATGGTCAAATAAAGGCCTAGGCCCTAAAATCTTTGACATATAAAAAGGGGGAATTTGAAAATCGGTCCCTTTATATGAACTTATTTGGATTTAAGTTCGTCAAGAAAATTTATTTTTTATGGAGTCCGTCTGTTGTCAATTTTACCAAATTATTCATTCCCTTTAGAAGTGAAGTAAAACTAAAAATTCAAATTCCTAAATTTTAAGAATTTATCTAACATTAAAATTTTTTCTCTCTCATATATATCTACTAATAATTGCCCGTGCCTAAAGGCACAGAGTAACAAAAAAAATCAATATATTGTGCCTCCTCATCTTTGTATCACTAACCACAAGAACATAATAGAACTCAATAACCTAGTACATCATGACAATAGCAACAATATAGGTTAACCACAACGACTTTATTACCACCAAAAATTTAACTAACAATTTCAATGGACCGCATGAATCTGTATCACTAAAAATTCAATGTATAGATCATAAAAATAAATAAAAAAATGATTGGAATCAGAATTTATCTAAACCTCAAAATGAAACAAGTAATCAAGTATATCCAAAATCCTTCCATTGCATTCTTATCATATCATCAATTCTTTGCAGATAACACATTCAGGCTATTCCTTATATCAGTGTTAATCACAGTCATACAATTCTAACGCAAGATTTAAAAAAAAAGGCGACACTACATGACGTCAAATAAGCTCCAAAAGTCATGTATTCATAAAAAAAAAAGGGAGATTTTGAAGCACCATCCTTTGCCCACAATCTACAATGAACAACTTCAATCAATTTGATTCTAATGTTCTATGATTCTCTCTCTTCTTCAACAGTAAGGTAGAGAAAAAGAAGCGTGAGCAATAAGAATAAAATTGTCATGTGTCTCTATCTATCGAAGTAGAAAAATTTAATTTTTCATAATCTCTGGGGCTAAAATTACTCATTAAGGCAAAACAACAAGGAGATTGAAATCAAACATTTACACTGGCCTTTCAACCTAAAAATCTTTAAAGTCCATTGTCCAAACTAATTTTGTGCACCCTAAACAACAATCCTATACAAAGTACACCAATAAAGCATAATCATTCTTCTCTTGTATATTCGTTTGTAGTCCTAATAAGCATAACGACAAATAGGTTGTGTGTATTTTTCTTGGGCCAATTGATTCACGATGAACAAAACTTTTACACAACTATGAACCAATTAAACAATTACTCACCATGATCACTTGAGCTAAAACTTCCAAAGGTATGTATGGACAATTAAGATGTCAAATTCGAATGCATGGACAATTACAATATTGATTAAAATGAGTACACAATTCATTGGTACCAAAATAATAGAAATTTCCATCCTTTTTGTTGCTATCATGGTATAAAAGAAATTCATTTAATAATAAATGCATTAGATATAATTTTTTGTATTAACAGTCATATAACTGAAACAATTAGTAGTTACATTATCAATTCAGCATGGGTTCTGTTCAAGCACCAAAAAAGAAGTGTTCATATGAATATGAATATTGCTAGATATGATTTTTCTTTAAGGATTATTTAAAAGAAAAGTGAGTGTTATGATACTTAGATGCGTATTATTGAATCAAGCACCCTGTAAAGTGGGTAAATAGTCTACCATTACCGACCTGTTTAGGAGTGAGACGACGCTTATGGGGTAGGAGCGATGATGGTGGCTGGTGCAGTGAGGTATATGTGTTGTTGATGTGTGTCTTGCCCATTACCATTCTCCAAAAGGAGAGGTACTTAATAATTCACCTATTACCCTTCTCCAAAATTCTTAAAATACCTAAAAAGCAATAATTTGATCACATGGAAAAAAAATCAAATAGAAAATGTTGCTCACTAAACAATCATCACAAACACGCCAAATGGTTTCACCCAACAGGCTTGTTACAGCAAGAATAATCAACTAAAGGAAGTTTTGGGTGTTGAGCAGTCGTTTGGCGGCAGTTGTCGTGTAGCTTTTCTTCGTAGAAAAGGGCAGCGATGGCGCTTGGGATGTGAGAGAGAACTAGGCGTGAGAGAGAGTAATGGGTGGCGATGGAGAGCTGGGCGTGAGAGATAGGGAATTCAGAATTGAGATTGGCAGAAGATTTGAGATAGCATATAGAGAGGCAGAAGTGAGATTGAGATGGATTCCATGAAAGGCATTTTGGAGATGAGTTTGGAAGCCAGGGGTTTCGAAGGAGAGAGAGAAAGGCATGAGTCAAGAAAATTGGGATTGATCGATGGCGATAAAAGGATGAGGAAGAGAGATTTGGGGAAAGTTAAAAGCCCTGATAATTAACAAAGGAAACGTTGGGCGATAAAACAAAATTTAGTATTCATTGTAGACCGTCGGATCAGTATTTATAAGAAAATTTGAACCGTTTTTTATGTTGGGATTACGTTGTCTGTTGGATGTATTTATGTTTTGTCTCAAAACAATCTGAATCTTTTGTCTCCAAAATTCAAACTCAACTCTACTTTATTATATAGATATTTTCATATATAGGTTAGGACTATATTTATTAGTAATTGTCCGTACCTAAAGGCACTACGTTATTCATAAAAAATCGTAAATATTTTTTTCATAAATAAAAATAATATATAATACAATTTTAACAATACAACTACTAAATTGAAATTGTTCAATTTGTATACAGAACATACATAATCAAATATTTATATAACGAAAGTCACGCTACAACTACTGTAACATATTAATTCAAAAATTTGAGAAAATATAATTATTATTGATCAAACATCGAAAATTCTAACATTTTAAATAAACTTTATCTCAAATTTTAAAAAAATATACAACTATTTATTTTTCTCTAGGTTTCTACTTTTAAAGTTCATAACATTATCTCTACACCATTTTTCCAGTGTGAGTTCATATAACTTTTGTAAGGAAGACATCCAAATGTTTCATATGAATTCCCATAAATACAAAAACTTTTGTTGAGAAATTAAAATTGGTTTCTATTTGACTTCAACTTAAATATTCGTAAAATTCAATCGAATTTAAGTTTGGGTGAGACTATTCTCACCTCACAAATCTTCATTTCCACCACATTTAATTTTTCATTATCAAATTACTAAACTCACCTCTTCTCATCTCATTAGTAACTAAATCCACATTACATTGCTAACTTCACCTCTGTCATTTACTGTAGCATCATCTCTTGCATCCTTTCCATTTGCTCGAGCTTTGTCTTAATCTTATCCAACTCTATTTATCGGGTTTCATTTTCACCTTGAAGGGTCATAACAACTACCTACAGACCTTTTACCTCATAACCCCTCTTATAGCCAGACCTTGCACCAAGGACAGTGCATGCAATCTCCTCCTGAGACAATAGAGATGCACCATTCCTGAAATTTTTAACTCTTTCATCCGTTCCTAAAATTTTTAAGAAGTTATAACCTAACAACCACTACAACAAATTTGATCTTTGACGATGAACTAACTCGTTGCAAAAAAATTAAAAAAGGTCGGTAAAAATTTTTGGCAACAAACTAATTTCGTCGCATTAGGCTCGTCTGGGAAAGTTTTCAGCTACAAAACTAAATTTGTCGCCAAAAGTTCACAATAAGCGACAATAATTTTGTTGCCAAAAATCTTTTCATTTGGTCACCAATATTTTGTTTATTTCCAAAAAATTAATTTTTTTAACCACATTGAATCTTTGGCAACAATTATATTCGTTGCTAAATATAAAGAACTTCAACAACTACCTCTATTTTGTTGCTAACAATATGTTCACAAGATTGTAGGCGAAAAAATTTGTCCTTCGTCAAAAAAAGCTGAATAATAACAACTTGTTTTCATTGCCCAAAATAACCAACATGATTAAATAACATTTGACCCTGGAACAATAACTGTGCTACTCAATAAACTACTATCCAATGTGATTCTCAAAAAGGGAAATTTTGAGAGAAAATATTAACCATATCTAAGCATAAGAGGGACTTAACAGCTAAAGCACTGCATTCCTAGTTCTATAAGAATTCCAATGAATATTAGCTCTACGAATGGAAAAAAGAATGACACAAAGCTTTAAATTTGCTTACTCATCGAGGAATTTCTGTTAGTTTGACAATGGCAATTATGCTAAAGTTAATGGGATCCCATAACGATTCCTGATAGCATCAATTTCTTTCTTAAAGGACTGTGAAAGCTTAGGGATGGATGTTTTGCAAGCTAAAATTTTTAGAAACAAAAAAGAGTGTATTTAAAAGAATCGCAT